AGAGCACCGACTAGCGAACGCGACACCCAGTCCCTGCCCTCCCACTGGAAGCAGCGCTCCTCTACACTGAGTTCAATCCTCTGCCAAGAAGCATCAGCTCAATGTTCATTTTCAAGGAAAACTCTTCATTAAAAGGAAAGCCAACAGATACTTCCTAAGTCTTCTCCAAGCCTTTCATCTTTCTTACCAGGGTAGAATATTGGTTAAGATTATAAACACCCAATTTCGCAAGTGGCACTAAGAAAATAGCTAAAAAACATGCTTGTGGCCCTCGTGGGGCTGCTGCTTTCCAGCTGGGCAACTGCCGATGTCTGGGCTGTGAGCTCCAGGGAAGAGCTCTGCAGAAGGCCTTGCTCGCCAGGGTTTGCTCAGGCTTATTTTTCTGCAACAGGCAAGGACTATTTCATACCAGAAAGAAAAAAATCTGGAGAAGCTATGGATATTGACCTTTAAACACCAACAAAACAGCCAATAAGGAGAAAAAGATGTAAGAAAAAGACAAAGCTCATGAACAGCCCAAGAGAGAAACCAATTCTGCAAGTAGAATTTGAAAACCCACTAAAAGCATCCTTTCTAGTTTATGTGTTAAACTAGCAGATGTTTACATCCTCGCGAGCCCTCCTACACCACAGCTCTGTCCTGGGCCTTCCTATCAGGACGCACTCCCATCTGTATGCTGGCAACTGAGGCACACCTGCAGCTCACGACTGCATGACAGATGTCCTCAACTCTCAAGATGAGTCACTTTTTATTAACTGAAAATGAGAAAGGTGCTAGTGAAAAATGAAATTTCACAATACAATAGCAAAGACGGGCTGAAATTTGTAACTTTATAAGCAAAAATAATATAACAATAACCCCTTTATAATTAACTCCTCCACAGTGAACATTCTGCTACTCACACCGTGATGAGGACCGACCCAGCTGACCACAGTGGATACCTGCCACAACCACGAGGCCAGGGCTCTGTCCTCTCTCCAGCTCTCCATGCGTAGCTGATGCCACCTCCTACAAGGCAGTTACAGATGGGGAGCTCAGGGGGGCGCCTTTTACCGACCTGCTAACAGGAGGGATAAGATCACCCCTCTGAGCCCTGGCCTCCAATGTGCATCTGGTCATAATTTCATGAAATATCTAAATGCCATTCACTAGTTTAAAAAAAAAAAAAGAATAGAAAACTCTGGACCAAGTAAATTGTAACTCAAAGTTGGGAGGGATACCAATTACATTAACAATGCTTTTCTTTAAAAAATAGAATCACTTTCTTTTGAAATCAACCACAGTGGTGAGACGTGTTTTTCTTCTCAGGTGTCCCATGATGGCACACAGCTTTTCCTGGCAAATCCTGCCAGCTTCTGAGTCCCAGGATGCTGACCTGCACCAGCGGGTAGGCAGCGTTACCTTCCAACAGCGTGGAGAAGAGCACATGTCACCACTGGGCGATGAGAGCTGACAGAGACTCTTGGCTTCTCAACGCCAGACATGGTTGGAGAGCTTTCCTTGTTCTATTAGAAAAGTTCATGAGGAAGCTGTGAATAGATCAGTCCAGAGGAGTAAAACCCTTTTATTTTCACTGTCCCAACATCAGTCAATGTACTGGGAGAGCCAGCGGAAGCCCTCGCCGTAGCCTTGCCTCTTGAGCACACTGCACATGAACACTTCCATGGGGCGGGCATTCAGTTCCTTCAGAGTCACATTGCCCTTTCCTGTAGTCTGTCCATAAAGCCCAAATATCTCACGGAGTTTTTCTTCGCTGATTGCATCTGTTCTGTCGATTTTGTTTCCCAAGATAAGGATTGGCACATTGGATATTGTTTCATCAGTCATTAACCCATTCAGCTCAACTTTGGATTCCATGAGGCGAGAATGATCTGCACAATCCACCAGGAAGACAATCCCATTAATGGCAGGTAGGTAATTTTTCCAAACCCGACGAGCTTGCTCATGTCCACCAAGATCAAAAGTGGTAAACGTCATCCCAGCAATCGTCAGCTCTTCTGATGTTGGATGTAGTGTTGGAACATGCTGGCCCAGTCTGTCATCTTTGAGCATGTGAAGAAGGGTGGTTTTGCCTGCATTGTCCAAACCCAAGAATACAAGTTTTCCAGATTTCTTGTAGAGCCCTAGGAACTGGAGCACGCTGCTGAAGCCATTGTAGATCCATTCAAAGATGAAAGACATTGTTAATGCTTAGCACACCCCGAGGGGCTCCTTCGGCGGCAGCGGCGGGCTTGGACCCTCCTCGGAGCGCACAGACCAGCAGCACCCGGGACCGCCAGCTACTCGCCGGAAGTACCGGAAAGTTTCTTAATGATAAAACAAAACAAAATATGTCATATGGATTGAGTGAAGCATAGATTTGCATGCATTCTGTTAGCTTATTTCCTATTTAGGATAGTTCTTTTGAAAGTTCTAATCCTTAGTTTCTCATTTGTGAAATGAAGATTGTCAAGCTACTTGGCATTATTCTGAGTACTAGGAGCAATAATTAATAAATGTTTTGCCCTACCTAGTCCATACAGTAGGTGAACAAGATAATTATTTTTCAAATTCTTAAACTCCTATAAACAGGTGGATCACTACGAGTCTGAACTAGTGGTGAGAGCCTGAACACCCTGTAGACCTTTTGCTAAGAATACGAAAAAAATCCCCCCAAAACAAAACAAAAAATTATTAAAATCATTAGCATCTATCTTTAAAAATTTTGTGTAGTTCTCTGCAAGTTAACACCTGGACCAGTGAATAAAATGCGGCTCATTTGAGGGGAAAAATATATCAGAAGACTTTCTAGGGCTGGCCAGCTAGCTCAGCAGACTAAATCACCTGTGTAAGCAGGTGCACCAAGGGTTTGATCCATGGCATGCGGTGCTGGCCCCACTCCCAGGGCACCCTGAAGGGCGATTGAGTCCGGGCATGGGGGCGTGCATCTGTAATCCCAGCACCTGGGAGGCTGAAAACAGGAGGATCAATCACTATGAGTCCAGTCTGTGTAGTGAGACCCTGTAGACTCTGTAGACCTGTACCAAATATATATAAAAAAGGTTTTCTCACAAAAGGTGAGACAGAAAGTAATGGTGGACATATAAGTGCCTGAATGCATGTTTACCACTAGGCATATTAAAGGTAAGTTTTAAAGCACCTGTAAAGAAAATAAAAAGCTGTTACAATGAGTTTTAAGTCTTAGTGTATCCGTTTCTTACACAATGAATTACTCTGAGCAGAAAAAGACCTGAAAACAAAACAAGACAGCAGTCAGACACACTGGGAAACCAATTGGGTCCTTGTGGGGGTTCAGGACACTCAGAAGAGAACTGGGGATGGGGAGTTAGAGGGTGATGAGGATGACTAAGGGGCATGTACTCTTATAAGAAATAATCCACTTTAAAAATAAAAATGTGATTTAAAAGGATTCAGAATGATCACTGTGTTACATGCTGCATGTTTTACTTGAAAATAAGTAAAACATTTTAAAAAATTGAAATTATTCTGACACTATTAAAACAATTAGGAAAATTTTACTTAAGACTATTGTAAAAGAGAAGAGAAAATGTGCTCAAACTTAAATGAAACAAAGAAAAGTGGGAATCTGAAGCAAAAGAGCGGATTGAGGCTTCATCTAAGTACCCTTTCTGTTTCTGGAGCATTGTGCCACAAGATGGAGTTTTATACAGAAGAAATATGTATTTCTCACAGCTCAGGAGGCTGGGAAGCGTGAGACCCTAGGGCTGCAGGGGGGAGGGCCTTCGTGCTGTAGTGTAACAGGCTGAATGGCATCGGATGGTGTCAGGTGGTGGACGGCACACGAGCGGGTGGGAGCAAGGCCATCATCTCAGGAGTGATTGGTATCCGAGGGAGAGGACTGTTGTAAAAGGGAGTGTGCCTTCCCCAGCTTTCCCTGCTTCCCGCCCTGGGCAGAGCTTCCTGGCATCTGAGCACCTTTCAAGAGCACCTGCTCCTAAGTGCTCCATCTTCTCAGTGCTGTGATACTGAGGACCAAGAGTCTTGCACCTGCACCTTTGAATTCATGCAAACCTGATGCACACTGTACAGGGAGTTACCGTTACATCCATTTGTCTGTGGCATTATCTTAAAACAAGTTTATGGAAGAATTGGTACAGTTTCTTTAATGTGAAACACATTTTGAAAGGTTTATTTTTCTGTCTAAATTGCTAGCTCTCTCTTTTCTAATCTAGTTGCCAATAAAAAACTTGATTTTCCCTTTTCTTTTTCAAGGGTACTAATATTTTAAAAGATTTCATTTGCTGCCACCTAGAGGGAATATATTTCACTGTTGTACTAAATCTAAAAGAAATTGATCTGGACATTGAAATTCCTCTTTGCTTTTATTTTTTGTTACTTAAATTTTCTGTCCAGAAAATATGTTAAGTTATAGACTTATTTAACATTTGTAATCATGCTTCTAGTACTCTTTCAGATTTCAACTAAGGTTATTATGCATACCATACAATCTGTCTTTTTGTAATAATGACATATAGTATATTTGTTGAATTTGAGTGTTAGGGCAGAAAATCTGGATGAAAAAAATTGTAATGTCTTTTAGAAATGTCCAATTTGCAAACATTTTAAAACACCGGTGGATTACATGCATATTTGTAACCAAAAAGCCTAAGCTGGACAAAGATAGGGTTTTAGATGACTGATTGATAATTTATAGTCAGATATAATTTGACTGAAAGGAATGTTTATTTTCGCTCTTCTCTCATTTGTACAAAGAAGGAGATTTTCTATTCTACTTCTTGGGAAGGAGTATCAACGAAAAGTAGTTCTGGTTGTGCCATAAGGTTGATTTATCCCAAAGTCCAAGTGGGGAAAGAACAGTGAGCGTTTGTAGCACTGATCCTTGGTTACCTACCCTATCTGGTAATCTTAACTCAGTTTGAAAATGTAAGAAGTATGTTTTCGCATCCTAACTGAACTCTTTAATCTAGCTTTTCCAGCAGTTAAGCTGATATTTTCTTCCTTAAGGGAAAGGGATACGTTTTTGCAATGGGTCCAGATCGCAAAGAAAAAGAGAGAATATAATTAACTGCAGCACAAACCCCAATATTTTTAATATACATGTGTGAATCAAGGTGGCAAATGAGTGCGAAAAGAACTGTCTGTCTGTCTGTCTGTCTGTCTGTCTGTCTGTCTGTCTGTCTGTCTGTCTATCTGTCTGTCAATCTGTGTCTCTCTTTCTCTCTCACTCTCTCTCGCTCCCATTCTCTGAAAAGATTTAAGAATGAGCCTATAAACAGAAAATCCTTGGAATATCAATCAGAAGACATGGTGAAAAGAATATTGAAATGCATGCAAGAACTGAGCGTGGCAAATTCACTGCTAAAATTTACTCTCTAAGTAAACATGGTTTCAAGAAACTCAGAACAGGATAGTCTGTGTTCTTTAAAAGTTTTTGTCCTAATTCAAGGTTCTAGAGTATATTATACAAACGCATTTCTTTGTATTGCTTGATAATAAGATAATGTAAATTGCTAATGAAACCAGAAACTTGGGGGGAAAGGAAATTTGACATTTAAAGACCTAGTCTGTGTCCTGTCAAAAAATGCACTGGTGGTTGGTCCGCTTTCTCTCATTGCTCTTCACCGTTCTGCTGTTCAGTGTTCATCACCAAAGCACTGCCCTGCACAATGCATTTTACAGGTTTCCTAGTCACCCTTCATTGCTATGCTTGGCCAGTAGGAAGGTGGACAGATGAAACCAAAGATGTGGGGGGCGTGATGCCCGAAGGCTCACGTGCTGAAGGCTCGAGTGGTGCAGTGCCTCTACCACACTGCCCGGTGGAGTGCTGTTGATTTGGGGGGAACCTTTCAGGGACGCAGTCTAGTGGAGAGTGGTTAAGCTCATAGAATGAGTTCTCATGAAAATAAGCTATTATTATTATTAATTTCTGTCTTTTAGGGAAGGATCTACAGGGAGTTCAGGGTCTCACTGCTAGAATGGACTTGTAGTGATTCTCCTGTCTACGGCCTCCCAAATGCTGAGATTACAGGTGTGCGCCACCACACCCAGTCTCAATTGCCATCTCAAGGCACCCCAGGGGTGGGGCTGGCATGGCAGGCCTGGGGATTGAACCCCCGTCCCTTGCAAAAGTAAGTTATTATGAAAAAATAATCGTAGGATTGTCCCCTCCATCAGTTGGGCTTCATATCTTCTGTGACATTCATTTGTCACAAGGATTTTTGCAGTTCCATCCACCATGCTGTGATGTAGCTCTGATTGCTCTCAACAAAGCCCAAATAGAACTGTATAACCTTGAACTTTCAATCTTTAAAATTACAGACTAAATTAACTCCTTTTCTTATAAAGCACTCGGCCTGAGGCATTTAGTCATAGTGACAGAGAACAGCTAAAGGAGCATTGCCTCTCTTTTGCACTTTTTCTAGGAACAGCTATACCTTCTCCATAATTCAGGTTCTTTCTTGTTTCTCCTGACCTTCTGCCATGCAGGCATTGCCCTTTCTCTTGCCAACACAGCATGATAGCAGCAGCTTCCTACTGCTGCTAATCTCTGCAATGCCTCAATGTCCCACATGTGGTTTCTGAATCTCTATCTGCTATTTCTATTAATTAGTGTTTTTAAAAACTCATCTAAGGGCCGGGGAGATGGAGTAGAATAAGCACTTGCCTGGCAAATGCAAGGACCTGAGTTCAATCCCTGGTTCTGCCAAAATAAATAAATAAATAAATAAATAAATAAATAAATAAAACAACCTCATCTTGGGGACCCAACAACCAGTCTGAGAAAAATTCAGGTAATTGGCTCTTCCCCCTTCATCAATGGGGGATCTGGCGGAACACGAGCCAGACAGTAGAACCCCAGCCGGGGTGCACACAATGGACAGGCAAGACTACCATTGTGGAAAGTCCAAAGCAACATTAGCAGTACAAATGAACAGGTGATAAGTTGATGAGCCAATATTTTGCTTGCAGACAAAGATACACAGAAGCAGGTGGAAGGGCTTTCCCTTGCCTTTCTTCTTTAAATCTTTTTCTTTTCTTTTTTTCCTCTTTTCTAAATGCCTGGCAAGAGGTACAGCCACAAACTAATTACATCCTCCAAACCCAGAGACCAACTTCAGATCGTCCCTTGCTTATACCTTTACTTTTCTTGCTTTGGGGAGGAATCAAAACTCAGGACCTTGTACTTACAGGCAGCCACTGCACTACAAAGTTGTATCCACAGTCCTTGTTTCCTGTGGTCATTTCACTATGCAGTTCAGGCTGGCTTTGAATTCACTTTGTAGGCCAGGCTGGCATCAAACTCAGTGG